AATAATGATCCTATTTGATTAAATGATAAGTTAATTTTAGCTTTTATTCAGAAAATGGCAAAAGCGTTTCGTGGTTCACGATTGCATGACGGCCGAAGAAATGGAGATAACATATCGAACATCATATCAAATTGTGCTATATTCCAGCCCGTCCATGCCAAATGATCATCATTTGAGAGCATCGGATCTCGAAAATCGAGACGTAGAGATTTAATAGCTTCTTGTATAAGTGTAAGTAAATCTTCAAGTATAACTAATAATTCTTGCAGTTGAAGTGTGGTCTTTAACTTTTTTCGATCATTCATTTCAACAATGTCCATAGGATTCAGGCGACCGTGCTTAAGGATGTGTTGTTCGCAACATCGAATATTTTGCGGAGCATAAATACGATGAAGAATAAGAAGATCGAGACGACAAGATTTGGGCATAATGATCATATTTGTTGATGAATCACGAATTTGACGACAAATAACACAGCGATTCTGATTTGATCCAGCATGCAAAACGTTTTGTGAAGTGCGCCCATCATCATTAGTATCGATACTATCTATTAGTGAAGCATCAACTGATGATATTGATGACGAATCGATTGACGACTTAAGATGATAGAAATGTTCTATGCATGATGAACAAAGACGAAGATCATTTTCATTAAACTTAGTATTTCTTGTTTTGCAGATATTCATGGAACCGCTTGTATGCTGAAGATGAGACTGAACGACAATTCAACGATTCTTTCAGCTTTTCACAAAGAATAAACTTTACTTTCGGCATATATATTTTATTACGATTGCATAGAGCAAAAATGATTTATGGTATCGATTTATGAACAACAAGATAAAATGATATTGACTGGTCAACTACTAAGAGTTTATTTGTATCCAATGTAAACATAAATCGATAGACGCCACTACTCTTCAGCAGTACTCATCAGCGATCTTTATCCTAATTGTACACATAGGAATAATCATAATTTATTATTTTCGTTCGATTTTCTTTCGGCTTTTCAATAGTCATTACTTTTCAAACGGTGCAATAGTTGTTGATCGACAAAAAGCAGAAGCATATTGCTACATTCCAGTGCACTGTCAAACTTTCGTTAGCATGAAACTTTTCCCTAACTTCCCACAGAAAAAAATGCCAGAAAACTACATCCATCCTTCGTTTTTCATGACCCGTAGCATTTTGCAACGACTTGCACCATTGGAACCGTTTCAGATTTGTTTTAAATTCATGCAATCAGACGGAACTACTATAAGCTAGACAACTGCTCTACTATGAAAAACTATTTCGATATATAATATGATAACTACAAAATTCATGATGATAGATTTCATCAATACTTTGAAACTATTCTTGAAGTTCTTGTAAATATATAAAAATGCTCACTTAGTTAATTCAGATTTGTGTATAGGCACATCTATGCTTAACTTTAAAAGCATTTATCATTATTTAAATGTTCAACAAGAAGAGAAATAGTAAATTGGAAGAGATTCACGAAACATCATGATGTGTGTCTATTGATTCATATGATCTAATTGCTTATTGAATGTGAGATGTAGGTCAGAAAACTAATAAAATCTATGTCAACCGACGTAATTTGAAGGTTGGTTAGAATATGATTGCTTATTTATTTTTAATACATCATTATCGAACATATTTCTAAAAGAAATCTTTATAGAAACATGTATTGACTTTATCAAAATATTGCAGTGACAAAAATGTATATAGGCGGTTGAACCCTTTGGACCATTTTTATTTGAATCCAAATTAACTCATTTTGTAGAGAATTTCAAGGAGTAATTTCTTGGAAAGTATGAATCTTGTCACTGGCATTATAAGGGAGTACAGTGAGTTACAATAAAACTATTTTTTGCTAGATTTTAAAAAAATCAATAAAAATTAGAATACTCCTTTTGTATTCATACACTATTTTTTATTCTTTATCAGCGTCAACTGTCGATCATTTATAATGGTTTTGTAGAGAAATGTTTGCTGAATCTTTTGATATATAACACTTTAGAAAACGATCAATCGATACAAATTTTTTATAAAAAATATGATAACCCTATCATAATTGGAAAATTGTGTAAAATGAAAATACCCCTTAAACAAAACGGCTCTTTGACACTAGATTTGAAAAAAAGAAATTGAAGAAAAAAATACATAGAACTATGCAAAATTTCATGGACTTTCTTTTTAAACACGTTTGAGACCCTGTTGCTGGGAGGGAGCCAGATTTACGGACTTATCTGGCGATGTCCTTAATCGGTCTTCAACTTCAATGTTCAGAGAGTGTTTGACAGTGTCGAAGGATTGTTTTTTTCCTTTGTAGTCAAGCAAATATAGATACTATAGCTAGTTTTTGACATTAATAATCGAAAATTTGATATATGCAGATATTATTATGTGTATATAATAAGAAAATTGATATTCTTGCAGGATTAGATTTAATTAACATATGACGCAAAAGTAACCTGAGAAATGACGGTTCTTTTTTTATCTTCGATAGTAGGAGGGTTGTTAGAAAATTTTTTTAACCGTAAGATAGAGAATGTTTTCCTCTTTCGAATCATACAGAATTTATTTTTATCGCATGTCCATAAATGAAGCTGTGCAACAAGAAAGAAAAGTATCCTGAAAATGAGTCCCCATTGTTTCTATAAACTACTGCATAAAATATGGATCCTTATATATCTTCGATAAATACTTTCTAAAAAGAATATTTTTCTATCAGTTGATAGGCAATTTTTTCTCTTTCAGAGAGTATATTATTTGTATGTGTTATACCTTCGTAAATAAAATGAGGCAAGAAAAAAAAAGAAACACTCGTGCAATAAACTTGCGATTTTTATATGAACTTTACCACTGTTTCACAAGATCTTTCCGATGAGCCGACAATAATGAAATTAACTGTCATCTTAAACTATGTTTCTGACAAGTGCAAATAATAATCACAAATCTATTGTACAGATGGTTTTCTTTTTCCTGCTCTCATTTTATTTACGAATGTATGACAAATATAAATACTATACCACTCAAAAGACAAGCAAATTTCGTATTCACTGTTGGGAAAATATTCCTTTCACAACGTGTTTTTCCAAAAAAAAATGTAGGAATCAACATTTCTTGTCGCTTTCTTTTTATGAACGTTTGATAAAAATAAGTTATGTATGATTTGAAAGATAGCAAAATTCTCCGTCTTCTAGTAAAAAAATTTTCTTTTAACATCCTTCTATCGATGAAAGTTAAGGCTGATATTTGTTCAGTGACTTTTGCATCATATGTGATATTACGAACAACAAAAACTGAAAAGAAGATACATTAAACATGCGATTAAAACAAGACATATGCTCATTTTCCCAAACGAAATGACGATTTTGGAGTAAGTATACGGCCAGTTTGATTAAATGGAATAATCCGATTTCTTCTTTGGTTAATTGTCAATTTGTTGAATACTTGTAGAACTTGTTGTCGAAATCGTTTCGAAGCTGCACAATAACAATAGAAAGAACTCTGAAAATCGAAATAAGTAATTAAATATTAATCGAAAAAAAATAATATTGAGAAATTTACTGCATTTGTATTATAAGCATAAATAAAGAAAAAAACATTTGCTAATTGTTCTTGTGTTTGACGATAAATACTTTTAGCAATATTTACTGTAGAAGTAAAATAGATTTGTGCAATCGTATATGGAGCTTGAAACATTAAGACAATAGAAATTGTGAATAAAGCCATTTTTATTGTTTGTCTATTAAAAATAGAAAATGTACGTTGATTTATATGTAATCTATGCATATTTCGATAAGAAAGATATCCAAATAAACTGATTATTAAAATCGGAATAATATTAGATAATCCTAATATCGTAAAATAACTTCGATATTGTGCATAGATTGTATTTGTTGTTTGACATCTCCAATTGGGTATGAAATTAACTTGTTGCATAAAATAATATGGAGCTTCATTACAAATCCAAACAAATAAAAATCCAATAACTAAATAATGAGCTCGTCGAACAGTACTTTGTTGACGTAAGATCGTATTTTGAGAAGAACATAAAAATGAATCAATTGATTGTAAACAAAGACAAGTGTAAGAACAAAGAGAATTTATATATAATAATGGAATACGAAATCTACACCAACTTCCACTTGTCACAGCATATGAACGAAAACCTTGAATTATAATATGACCAATCAGACCAATAATAAGTACATTTAAATCAAAAAATGATTTAGCAAGCATATAAAATGAACTTGCATTTGTTTTATAATTACCCAAACTAAGAAACACAATAATATTCATAAGATTACCCACAATGCCAATTATAAGTACTGGAAAACCAACTGCAAAAGCTATATATTTAGTAACTAATTGAAGTTGAACAATACTTGTATCATTCGAAGACATTTTTAATTAAAGAAATTTAGAAGATCACACGAATATAATTTTTGTAATTTTTAATGTGAAACAAAAAAGATTTACAAGTCAACATGTCATATCAACACGAAGAAAATAATATCTTTCTTTTTTTTTCTTTCTTACTATGCGCGAATACTATTGGGACTTACTTTTACTTTTCCTGATGGATTAAACTAAAATGGTTTAGGTCGCTTGAAGATATTCACAATGACGTCAAATAAATAATGAACTCATGTTAATCTGGAGATTAGAGAAAAAAAAGCTGTTCAAAACAGAAGACGATACTTTAACTCAATAAGCCTTAATAATTTCCACTTTTTAAAGTTAAGATCTTTGATTCCCTCTAATTAATTCACTTAGAACTTGACTGTGGCCTATAAATAACATAAATATTACATTAATAAAAAGAACGAAAAAAACCTATTTTGATCATTCTTCTTAGAAATACGTCTTACAGAATATATAATAAGTATTTAATGATAACCTTAATACAATGATAAATGTATGTTTCTATTATAAAAACTTCATGAAAATAAAGATCAAAAACGCCTTCTTTTATTAATAAATGCGCCATTAGAACTCTTTTATTTTTGTCTCCTCAACATACCTTTACTATTAAATTACAATGCAATATTTTTCATTAGAAGTTAAATAGATTCTTAATTACGAAAAGCATTCTTCAGAATAACATTACAAGCGTCTACAGAGGGGGTTTTATTAATTTGAAAAAAAAAAGTTTTTGCCACTTTTTTCCCAACGTTTTTTTTAATGAATAAGACAAAGAGATTGTAACGAAAATAAACAAAATAAAAGATACTCTATTAAAAAGTTTTCTTGAAAATCTAAATGACAAAATAAAAATTAGAATTAAATAAAAGAAATAGTTCAAGTAAATAGAGATGTTCCCCAAAATGTTCAATTTGATTCTAAATAACAAAAGCATATCTAGATAATAGCATGTAGTTATCAAAAGTAAATGAAGTAGCCTACGCATTGGGTCTATTGTAAGAATCATTGAGCAACGCACAATATTGTCCCCATGAGATGACTACGAGTAGAGACTGATGTAGTTCTTTCAATCTTGAGACAATGTCATTTTTCTTCCGCGAAACTGAGAAATATTGCAATGTCACTTCTAAAGTCTTTACCTGTCTATAACGGACATCAATCTATCCTTGGTCTTGACTCCTCTGGATACTCTCTAATATATACAAGTATATGAACGACAATAAAAAGTGCATGCGACAAAGGTTCGATTGTTTTTTGAAAATTTACCATAAATCAGCTTTCATTTCATATAAAATTAGTTTCTTTGTGTTTTATAGTTGAAGAGAGCGAAACAGAATTAAATTATGAATACTTTCTGCGACGGCCAAATCAATGAAAAAAAATAATTGGGGTGTGGGTATGAGTTTTCTCTTCTTCCACACCCTAAGCAAGGTTCGCACTGATCATCATAAGTAGCTTGAAGTTCTAAACAATTCATCTATATACACACCCACACTCTCCATGGGATGTATACTTTACTTGTTATATTTTACTTTGCATTTTCGCTCAGAGACTTGTTTGTTAGATTGTGTTATATCGAAACTCAAGATTTAATAACAATCGGCGAAAAGTGCAGACACTTGCTGGCGTTTTTTTTACGGCAGCTAAGGAAAATTTTTGATAAATGATGGATTGAGATTGGTATTCTTAACCTTTTCACGTAGTGGTTTGTTACATCTTATCTCTGATTAGTCGTCGTGGTAGCTTCACATCGATATTTCCAGGTCATTTATTCGCCATTTATTAGATAAAATGCATGCAAACAAAGATAATTTTGAAAATGCGCTTTTAGTCTGTGAGTTATTGAAATAATTCTCGAATCAGATTGTTTAAATAATTCAAGTGCTTTGGTCCTCTCAAAATAATCAAAATCGGGATACCCAATATGCAAAATTTTTGACATTCAAATATTAAAGAAATAATTTATCTGTTTTGTCGTATATCAGATATATTCTTCCTGATTTCATTCGAACAGTGATTGTTACTCTTAGTACTTCCTGCTGTTTTCGATTGAACAAATATTGCGACTTCTGATTAACTTCTTGTTCTCACTCGAACAAGAGTTGTTACTCTTGATGCAGCTGGGTATGGCCAGCTAACTCTGCTACCGGAGTGAAATTCCGTAACGTTTTTCGCTTATTTTGTTTTCTCGATAAATATCAGGCAGTAGCACGTGAAGAGTTGCGAGACGTCTTAAATTAAAGAGAAAAGTCTTGTACATATTCTAAGATATTTTTCGCTTTTGGAACATTTGTCGTTTCCAAGATGTAACAAAAGAATTGAACACCACTTTTGAAAAAGTTATAATTTTCAGAATTGAAAAGTAGTTATCAGCTTTTTAATTATATCTTGGAAACGACAAACGTTCCAAAAGCGAAAAATATCTTAGAATATGTACAAGACTTTTCTCTTTAATTTAAGACGTCTCGCAACTCTTTATGTGCTACTGCCTGATATTTATCGAGGAAACAAAATAAGCGAAAAACGTTACGGAATTTCACTCCGGTATCAGAGTTAGCTGGCCATACCCAGCTCTTGTTTTCACTGGGAAACTAGTTGTGACCCTCAATACTCTTGCTGTTTTCGCTCGAAGAGGATTTGTTTGTCTGAAGGCACTTCATGTTTTCGTTCGAACACCAATTGTTCTTCTTCATGCACTTGCTGTTTTCATTGCAACACGAGTTCTTACCCTTAGGCTACAAATGGCACCTATCGATAGAGAATTTAATTCTACATCTTATCGATCTTGTCCGAGTTGCTGGACATAATTTTGTGATTCGGATAAGCCAGTATCAGTTCCAATTTTCGAATTATCGGACATACAGGAACGATTATTGTTTCTTATCTTGATACAAACTTTTGATTTACTTTTTATTTATAGACACAGAAGAGCATAAAAACAATTAGAGAAGGTTTCCAAAGTATTCGACAAATGCTTAATCTTGGATTAAAACACGTGGATTTTGCGACAGGTAAATTTTAATGGATCGCCCTTCACTTCAGGATGATTCATGCCATGTGGACAGGGTTCATATTGTATCATTTACTTTGGTCTTGATAGACCTTGTGATTTTAAGCACAAAATAATACCTGGACAGCACGTTCGGCTATAATTGGTTGCGACGCTTTCAATTACCACATGTTCCTCTCGTAAACAGCTTTTCGTGTCGCAGAGATGAGAGGCTGTTAAAGATAAGAAAGATTAAATTATTAAAAGCAGATATTTCTTACTCTATTTCTCTGATGCGCTCGAGAAAGGAGAAAGGCGTGACAATTTTGCGCGAAGAGCAACATGATGATTTAACACACTCACGCGTTTAATTTTTTTCTCTGCGCCAAAATCTTTGATATTCGGTTGCATACATTCGCTGGAGATGCTGCAGACTTGAAATTTTGCTGTGGGATAAAGAGTTGGTGGATGTTGAAGATTCGCGACAGGACATCTAGTCGTCGAAAAATTTCTCTATGAAGAATAACGCATACATTAAATAAAATAATTATAAGCTCACTTACCATCTTTTGATGTTACACTCGTGAAAATGCTAATTTCTTCTAGTTTGATTTCGTCATTAACATATTTAGGATTAATGAGCTGCTCTTGTGGAGGCTTGGACAAAATTTAATCTCTGAGAGCGATAGCTTGAGCTGTTAGAATACTGTCGAGGAATTGAATAGGTATTGATATTTCATGCATTGATACAGATAAAGACTGTGAAAGCAAGGATTGTGAAGAGTTGGGTTGGTCATAGGAATTCGTTGCAGGTTTGATTTTGTTTTTGTCATACTTTCGCATATCCTTGAATTTGGTTTAAAATCGAAAACCATAGTTGCAGAAGTATCAAAAATAATTTTATTTACTATAATTTCAAATTGGGGTAACCTGTTTGTTTAGCAATTTTCTTCAACTGATTACCACTTGGATAAGGTGTACGAGCATAAAACGAATGTAAATAGTTGTTCCTCTAATTAGTAAATTGGCCTATTGTTTTCATATATTGGAATAGATGTACGAGACCCAACCATTGAAAATTTAGAAGAAAAAAAGAACACACATAAAACCTAATAGAAAAACAGCGAAAAAACAAAAACAAACTAAGGTGTAAGTGTAGCTGTTCTTCTCTTCCATATATCCATACCCACACCCATACTCACACCGCACACCCCACATTCACAGATTATTATTATGATACCGTTAAATTTTATTGATAGAAACATCATGTTCATTGTTTTTCAAGAAAAGTTGATCATGGCTTTTAATAGCATCTAATTGTACTTTAACCATCGGCACTGTATTCATTTGATTTATTAACTGGTAAATGTGAGATAAATTTTTGATGTTTTCATTTCATTCTATTCTTTTCACTTGCTTTTCATAGTTCATTTTAAGTTTCTTCAGTTGATCAATTAATTCTTTATGGAAATCAGTTGATGTTTCTTTTTGACAAATAAAATCTTCTTCATTTATTATTCTATCTATGCCAAATAAAAATGGATCATTTTGTTGAATCTGAGAGGTTTTGATCAGAAAATTAGTAAATCTTGCGCAAGTTTCAGAAAGAACATCGAGATATTCTTTCAACGTTTCGATCGACTCATTTCCTTTTTGTTTGACAGCATCATAGTCGAGTCTATATTCTATTGGTTTTGGTTCATTTGATGTGCATTGTAAATATATGAAAATATAATATATGCATATTAAGATTAGATCACAATTTTTCGACTGAGGAAAATTTTCGTTACGATGTGAACAGTACATACACCCATGTTCAACAAGTTCTCAGATTGATTTTATTTAAAAATAGCAACAAGTGCTGTTGCGTTTCAATTGATTGTTGCATGTAGTTCATAAAGTGCTCTATCCAATGGCATAAAAATTCTTATTGATTGAAGCCCTTGAGTGCTTCAATCGAAATTTTTTTGCATCACACTAAAAGCACTAA